GAGAAAGAGACTATGTAATTGACCCAAGTCTTTGAGCTCTTAGCATTAACTGAGATCCTGTAACATAGGCAGATTTAGCCCTTTTGTTTCTATTTCTATATTTAATATAAATGTATATTAAATTTTTGCAAACATTTAGCTTTTGGCTAAAGTCAGCTTTCGGCCACATCTGTTGATCAGCAGGGAAACAGAAGGAGAAGAGGGATTTTCACACTTAGCAAGCAGCTCATGTGTGCCAGTTGCACAAAAGCAGGGTTATAGTGAGATATCCAATTCCCATTAGAGAAACAAGGGAGCTGGAACTCAGAGAACATAAGTGATTTGCTCACAGTCAAGGTTTGTGAGTGGCGGTGCTGGGATTGGAGCCAGGCTCACTTGGCCCTGAGGTCCATGTTGAACAGAAACCTTCTCTATGATTCCCCAGCAGACACACATAGCCATGCCGTTTCAGGTCCACCCTCAGGTTGCTTCTGCTGGGGCCTTATGTGCCTGAGGGCAGAAACTCATAATCATTTGAGGACCCACGTGGTGTTGCAGTCCAGCATGACCATTTCAAACTCTAACCACTCCTGCATCTGCAAAATGGCATTTTCCCTGCTGGGTGTCTAGGGTAGGGTAGCCCCCTACCCTGTATGGTTCCTAGCTGGGGCCCCTGTCACCAGGGAAATGGTGCTGGTTCTCACCCAGAAATAGATAAAGAGGAAGTGTCTCAGCTGAATAAGAACAGGTGTGCAAGCCTATCCCGACTCCCTGCTCCCTGAATGAAGCAGGGCCTCCTGGCATCGCTTGATATTTGTGACGCTATCCCAGGTTGTACTGGCAGCAGCCAATACCAGGGTTTTCCAGAGGCTGAAGTCCAACACGCGGTTAATGTCATTGCCTTTTCCTCCCTTCCTCGGGATCAGAGGAATAAACATCTCTTACTTAGAACTGTTCTATGCAGACTTAGAGTGGCAGAGGACTAACTTAACCTGTCAAAGGCTATTTTGAGCAAAAGCCCCTTGTGTCACTGAAGCTGTAGAACTGAGCCACGGTAGGAAACTGTTAAAGTCGCAGGGTCGAGGACTAGGTACCTATGTTATCCCAGCTGCGCAGAAGCACAGCCTGAGTCTCCTCTTCCGCTGAGCCGAGGGCGGGTGGAGAGCCCTGGGAGAAGAAGGAGCGGCCCTTGTGACCAGTGCCCTCTGGTTCACAAGGAACGTCTCCTCTTGTTTACGTGACTTGGCTGAGCTTGCTACTTCTGCTTTGAGAGTCAAATATCAGGATCAAGACTTTAATTATCCCCAATTTACAGATGATGAAACCATATTGGGCAGAAAAGAAAGTCACCCCCGGAGAGCAAGTTGGGCCTGGGCACTGGCTGAGGACACAGGAATGATCATTTGGGATGTAGCTTGATAAGCGGCCTCACAGGTGTTCTGATCCAGGTGTCGAGGGATAGAGCAGAAAGGTTGCCAGGGAGACGCGGGTAGGGTGCACTGCGAGACTGGGAGAAATTAGAAACTCACAACAAAGCCTCGGGACACTGGGAGGGGGTGGACCACTGTGTTTTCTGCTGTAGGAGAGGAAAGCAAGAAAAGGAATCTGTGTTAATCCGACAGCCTGCAGGAGAAGCAAATGCCCTTCATTTTGTTCTTCCGCAGTGAGACTGGCATCCCTGTAGCTTTGGGAAACCAGACTAGTGTGGATGCCAGCTCACTCCAGTGGCCTGATGACTAGGAGACCATGGGCTGGGGTTCTGGTCTGGGCTCCTAGGCCTGATGGGAGGAGAGTTCAGCCCCAGGTTTCCTGTACTTCAGCTCGTATCCAGACGATGGTAATTGTTGAAATGAGAGACTCAAAGGAAGCTGGAACCTAAACTTTGTTGTTGTCCCATGTGGACTCCTGTGTTCACTTTCTAGTTCTACCTCTTGCTGTCTGTGTGTTCTTAGGTAACTCACTTAAACCTTTCTGAGTCTCATTTTGTTCATTTATAAAATAAAAGATATAACATTTATGTCATATATTGTCCTGAGGATGAAATGGGAGAATGAGGAGCTTCTTCTGAATTCCCTTGGCTTCCAGTGGGTGGAGGCCAGAGAAGCTGCTAAACATCCTGCCAGGCGCAGGACAGCCCCGTCACAAAGAACTCTCTGGCCCCTGATGTCAGTAATGCAGTACTCAGGAGCCCTGGTGTGGGGGAAAGAGAAGAAACTCAGAAGCTTGGCACATCTCAATTCAAACCCCGGTTTTACCACCTCCAGCAGGCCTTGGTCAGGGAATAGTATCTAGCTAAAATTCGTTGACTTCATTTTGTTTTCATAGAATTTATGTTTTACTGGCTTTCCATTTGTGAGAGTGATAGAAGTTTCCTTTAAACATGAAGTTGTAAATATAAACAAGTAGGCCATTCACAGAAATATATAAAACATGTCATAGGAAAGGTGGCACTCTCATATGGCAATAATTACGACAGACGCCGGCAAATGACCTGAGTGACCCGGAGTGACCTGAGCACTGAGTTTCAAACACCGTCCGTAGGACGTCCTGCATCCCCCAGACCCTTTCCTGGGTCCTCCTGGGCCCCAACACTCCCTAGACCATCCAGACCTCAGGCCACCCACCTCTCCGTTGCCAGAGGAGTCTCCGTTCCCGAACATGCTGGTCACCATCAAGAGCAGCTGCTCCTCCTCCAGGCAGCTCAGCTTATACTTCTCCACGCAGAGAACCTGGATGGCGCTGAGGTGGACACAAGCCCTCAGCTCCCAGTAGACACTCTGGGCTTCCTCACACACCTCCCCCTGGCCGAGACTCCTGTGCTCATCTGTCTCTCCCAGTACCCAGCACAGGCGTGGCACAGCAGAAGTGAATGGACTGATTTGAACACATCATCCTCGGTTCTCCTTCCCCGCTCAAGCCCTGCAGCTAACCCATCGGCGAGTCCTGGAGGCTCTGCCTCCAAAATACTGCCTATCCCATGTCCAAATGCCTCTCACCACGTCCACTGCTACTTGCAATTGTGTGTGTGTGTGGAAACATTTCCACAAAATTGGAATGAGCCGGTCACAGCGGCGCCTGGAGGCAATGGCCGGGGAAATGTGCCCTCACCTTGTTATTCTATCCAGGCCCACCCAGCTGAGGATGGGGGACCTGCCACCACTCTCCTGGCAGTTCCGGACTCCTGGGAGCCAGCAGGGGAGGACCCAAGAGTGTTTTCAGCGACCTGGCTGAGCTGGTCATCAGTCACTCCCACCTTGGCCTAGGCCTCTACATGGCACACATCACAGCTCATTCCAACCTGGCATTACACTGGCCTGTGCCCTGTCCTCATGGTCACATCTGTCTCCCAGAAGCCGTGCAACCCTGGAAAACCCATGAACCTGTCTAACAGTCAGGTTCCTCCTCTGTGCATTAACAATGACATTGACGCCTGCTTTGCGGGGTGCTGGGAGGGTAGAGGGAGGTGTATGCTGGAGAGCTCCCCGAGGGCAAGGCCTGGCTCTGCATCACTCACTCTCAGATCCTCAGAGCCTGGAGCTGGCCCAGCATGTGGCCACCATTCCCTAAGAGTTGGATTTGATCCGTCAGGGCTGAAGGCAGAGGATAGAGCTTCGACAGACCCCCTGTGTCCTGTCTTCTTTATCTGCAGCTTACTCATCCTCACCCCTTTCACATGCACCCTGCAGAGCAGGTGTTCACTGAGCTTCCACAAAATTCACCAGAGCAGCTGATGGACACTGGGGCCTGGATTCACTGTCAAAGTGTTTCTCAAAGGGTGCTCTCCAGAACACCATGGAAAACTCATTTGCTGTATAAGTTTGAAAACCCCTGCCCACAGGTCTCCCCTTGTGTATGAGCAATCAGCTCTACCATTCAGCCCAGGTGTGTGTTTGCTGGACCATCTGGAGGAAGCTGAGGAGACATGAGCTGAAGGCAGAGGGTGAGTCCGAAGTGGGATCTTGGGACATGTATGAGAAGTTAGGCAAAAATAGGATAATTCCAGCCTTAATAACCTTAGATAATAGTTCACATTATTATTTAGTTAATAGGATTGTACCCACGTTAAATTGCTAATTTTTTTAAGAGGGGAAGTCTCACTCGGTCACCCAGGCTGGAGTGCAGTGCTGCAGTCATGGCTCACTGCTTTCTGGAACTCATGGGCTCCAGCAATCCTGCCTCAGCCTCCTAAGTGGGACCATAGGCACCCGCCACCATGCCAGGCTAATTTCTTTGTCTTTTCTCTAGAGACAGGGTCCACCTGTGTTTCCCAGGCTGGTCCCAGACTTCTAGACTCAAGTGAACCTGAACGTCCTGCCTTGACCTCTCAAATTGCTGGGATTACAGGTGTGAGCCACCACACCCAGTCTAAATTTGGTATGTGCCATGGAACTGCAAAACGTCATTATTAGGGGCAGTTGGATGGAAGGTGTAGGAGGCCACTGTAGTGCCTTTTCAATCTTTTATATCTAAAATAATTTCAACAGAAAACATTTATTTTAAAACATGAAGGGGGTTAATCGTCTATGAGTTGAAAATACAAAGGCAGGCACACGGTGTTGTGGGAATTCAGAAAGCTGGTCACACGGCTGGGGGTGCTGGGAGGGGCTGGGCATGGTTGGCTTTGTGATCTGGGGGCTGCTGTGTTCCATCTGTGAAGGTCTTTCAAGCTGCACACTTTCTTAATCAATTTTCATAAGTTTAACAAAAAATGAAACGAGGACGTGAAGTTTGCTTGGGTTGTTAAGTCTCTGGAAGTTATCCAGCCATGAGCCCTGCCCCAGATGCTTCTAGAACCCTGGAGGGAAATGAGAATTTTCCAAGTAGAGGTGACAGAGGCAAGGCCCTGAGGTGGGAGCGCGCTGCTGCTCGTCCCTAGCTGTTAAGGAGCTGTCCTGGTTGGAATCAGTGCTGGGTGCAGGGCAGGGCTGGAAGTCCATGTCCACACTGTGGCTCAGTGCGGTGAAAGCCAATCTCACCCCCTCCGCAGGGTGTTCCGCCTGCCAGCAGGTGGCCAGCTGGTCTTCCTGGGATACGGTGCCATTGTAGAAATTGGGTGCAAGTCTCTTGTCCGTAGACGGGGTGCCCTGTTGTAGTGGGATATCTCCTGGCCTCCCTCAGTCCTGATGGGCCTGGGCAGGGCCTGGTGTCAGGGTCCCCGCGGGCTTCTCGAGCTGGCCCTGTCCCACAGTCCCGGGGCTGTCCAGGACACATTCAGAAGGGACACGGACCCAGCAGCTCTGTTCGAAATCATAATGGGGGAACCAAGGGCCCCCTACATCCAGGTCCGTCGGGAGCCGGGGCATCGAGTTCCACTCCAGGAATCTCCAGGAACCCTGAGGTCTTCCCTGAGCCGGGACCGGGCTGGGCACATCCTGAGTGCCCACAGGGTAGGTGTCTTCCCGGACAGCCACACCAGGACAAGATGTGGAAGAACGAGGTGCCCATGGTGGGGAAACTAACCAAATGGGCCGCTGGAACCGGGCTGGTGGGCCTGGAGGGGTCTGCCTGTCCCCCTTGCAGAGGGTCATTCTGCCACTTGAAGTCAGCACAGGCCTCGGTGCCGAGGACCCTTGCTCGGGTTTGGCTGAAAGAAAAACAGACGTGGTCAGCGTCTCCACTGAGCCCATGTAGGCCTTTCCCGGCCAGGCCCCACCTGCCTGGGTCTCTGGAGTCCTCAGGATCTCTGTGTGGCCCCGTGGTCTGACACTGAGGACATGCCTGTAGTCTGCTGATCCCAGAGGGAGGGGTGTGTGCTGCCTGGCATGGGGAAGCTATCAGGGCATGACAGGTAGCTCCTAGGACTGCCCCAGGGTTCGGACTGGCTGGGGGATTCCTACCACACACCTTCGTCCCAGGGCTGTTGGGCCAGGATACAGCCCCCAGTGAGAACTCAGGTGGGAGGGGACTTGGATGTCACCCAGCCCCTTGTCACCTCACATGGGGACCCATCTCCACAGTGGGTGATTGGACCTGGATGTGGGTCACCCTCTGCCTTCCTGGGCTGCCCAGTCCATGCCAGGACTGACCGTTCCCACATCTGGCTGAATTCTTGGCTCTGGCTCTCGCCTGGGGTGCAGCCTGTGCCCTCTCCCTGAATGCTCTGGGGTCAGGGACACCCGATTCCCTTGTCTCCCTGGCTCAAGGCTTGTTGTCCTGGAAACCTTGGAGGAGCGTGCAGGAGTGAGGGGCCTCTGCTGCTCTCTGAGGCTGTGGGTGCTTGCAGGGAGGGCGGGGTTTCCCACAAATGGGTCTGGCTTCTTTAGTGCCCTTGATGGCCTTGTGATGGGGAGACAGAGACACTGTGGAATGTGGGAGGCGGCTTGTTGGAAGGTCTTGCCCACATCGCCCTCCTGCGGGCACATCACATCCAGTACACACGCACTGAGCGCCTGCCGTGAGGACCGGTGGCCTCCTGTACTTTCTTAGAGTCCAGGAGGAAGAGGAGGAAGAAAAGGTGAAGAGGAAGGCCCAGGTAGTAGGGTTGCGGGTCTCGGGCACTCCCCTATTATTGACTGCCCCAGAGGGTGACATGGGGGGGGACATGGCACTGGAGCTCACCTGGGGGTGGCAGGTCCCCTTGCTTCCTTGTTAGTTTCTTCGTAGAGGCCCTAAGATGCTTGAGCACAGAGTCATCATCCAACTCCCAGGTATGGAAGAACAGGTTCCGAAACCGTGCCCACAGGCCAGACCTGGATGTCTTCATGAGGCGCTCTAGGGACAGGGTGGACATCAGGTCAGGAGAGTTCCCTGGGAGGGGGCACAGCTGATACCCCGTGGCCACTTCAGTCTCCCACTAGGCGATGCGGGAATCTTTTGTGGCCACCCCAGGGGTTTGGATGTGCACAGGAGACTGTGGCTGGGGGAAGTGGGTAGGGAAGTGCTCACAACATTCATCTGGGTCATGTGGGGGACGGGCTCGGTGTCACTGTGCCTTGCCCAGCCCACCTGGCCAGACCTCCCTCTGGGCCAGAACAGAGGATCATGAGGACAGTGTGAGGAAGCTGCCCTCGGGTAAGTCGCGTCTGACCCCCAGGGCTCCCCAGCCCCACTGGGCACATGTAGACTTACTCCTCTGAACTTTAAAGGCAATGCTTGTCATCGGCATCAACACCTGTTCTCCTTCCAGCAAATACACGTCCCACAGGCGCAGGGTGAGCCCAAGAGAGATCTGTGGGGATAGCAGGTGTGGGAGACTGTAGCCCTTCCAGGCTGGGGCTGGTGGCTCGAACTGAGCCCACTGGGGCTTCAGTCCCCAGAGTCAGTGACCTTCCCCATGAGGGTTTCCTGAGCCCTCCAGGGCGCTGGGTCAGACAAGGTCTTGCAGCTCCTCATGGGGGGCACTCATTGGAGTGGGGGTGTGGCTCCTGGAGAGAGGGGCTTGCCCAGGGCTTGAGGCTTCCCTGATCCCTCCAAGTCAGGTCTTGGCCCAGTCTGCCTATAAGGCTGGTCCTGAGCTCCAGTCATTGCCCTGGGATGACCCCTCTTGGGCAGAGGGTTTGGTTTGGGTGTCCTGTGAGGCCCCCCCTGTGGGCGGAGCCTCCTGTGGGCTGTGGCTGAGCCAGACCCCCAGGCTGGGGAAGCAGGGCACTGCAGGGCAAGGAGGGTCCCTGAGCCAGGGTCTCCCTGTGCCTTCTTACCCCGTCATTCAACGTCTGGAGAAGCCAGCCTAAGGAGGAATCCTGCACGCAAAGACCTTCCTTGTCCTGATGGGAGGAACAGAGGTGCTCAGGGCCCCTGGGCTGCCCTAAAAACCTCCCTCTTGCAGGGCCTCTGAAGACCCTTCCCCTAGTGCAGAACACTGGGCGGTGTCCAGGGCTCCCCACAACACCGGCCCCTTCCCACACTCCCGGTGGACACACTGCCCTTTGCCCTGCTCTGCGGGAGCTGGGCCCCCATCCCTGTGCCTCTGTCTCCTCCAGGGCAGGAAAGGAATCCAACTCCCAGCCCATGGAGAACCGACGTCCCAGGTCAGGCCCTGGCTGGACTCATCCAGTCACCAGCCCCACCAGGGGCTCCAGTCCCCGTTCCTCCAGCCCACGGGAGGCAGAGTCTCTGGGGAAGAGCCCAATCTTGCTCGCCAGACGCCATAAACTCACCAGATGCCACCTGGTCTTGTGTTGTGACGTGGGGACCACATGCTCCTGATGGTCTTGGAGGCCCTGGACTGTCCCGCCATTTGGGCTGTGGAATCCTGAGAAGCCCCAGCCCATCAAGAAATCAGAGCCTTCCCCCAAGATGTGGAGCCATCAGCAGGAAGAGCTGGGCAGCTGGAGAGGCCCCCAAACCTCAAGGCCTTTCACCCTCCCATCTGGTGACCCACCATGCAGCCTTTGCCCTGGGGACGTGGGGCAGGAACATCCCCTGGAGCCTGGCTGGAGGTTCCCCTGGACGCCTCCTGGACCAGGGTGCAAAATGGGCAAACATGACTTGAGGCCACCACACGGCAGCCAGAGCAGGGTGGGTGCTGGGCTCTTGGTCGTCTCCTGGAAGTGAGTTCAGGCCAGGGACACGGGTTGGGGAGATGCTGCCACCTGGGATTGGTCGGCCCATTCATGGGCACCAAGGGCAGCAGGATCTCAGGGATTGGAGAGTCAGCTGCACAATCAGATCCAGAGGGCGTGGCAGCAGGACACAGAGGGTGGCCACGGGGAGGATGAGATGCCCTCCGCTGATGGGGATGAAGGCGTCTGACTTGGGCTTTGGGGTCAGCCGCGGACCCCTGTGGGACCCTCAGCAGAGACATCCTAAAGACTCCCAAGGAGCTGGCCAAGGAAGGTGCCTTGGCTGAAAGCTGAGATCATCTGGCCAGGGTGGCCGTCCCTGGGTCTGACTGCATGAGGTCCCTTGGGCACCTGTCCACCTACCCTGCAGAGTGCCTCTCCCTGGCCAGCAGCTGCACCAGTGCCCAGAATGCATCCTCCTCAGGCAGATACAGGAGGAACAAGGCCGCGATGTGGCTCAGGTCCCTGCAGTAGCCCACCTCCTGCAAAAGCCAGAGTCACCGTGGAAGGACATCACCTGGGAGGACTGAGGTCACCTGGGAGGACTCATGTCATTGGAGAGGGCAGAGGTGACTGGGGAGGCTTCCTCTGAAGAAGAGGCTTCCTCAGGATGCAAATTCATTTCATGACAAGAGCCAAGTCCATCAGGCACTTCAGCACCTTGTCCAACTGTCTCCTGATGGCACCATCCCGCATGCGACCCTGCCAAGCTCCTGGGCTTTGGGGCAGCCCCAGGAGGAGGGCATCATTTCTTGTTCTGAGAAGTGGTGGTCAGACCCAGGTGACACCAGGAGTCCAGGCCCCGACTCCTTTGTGTCTCAGCTTGACCCTTGAGGCCACCCCTTGCTTAGAGGTTTATGCCAGCAGTGAGCTGGAGTCCTACCTCCTATATCCTGGTGGCTCACAAATACTAATTTTAAAAGAAGCAGCGACACCCCACCAGACACCCACTCCTGTGACAGGGAAATACTGCCTGGGAACATCACTGCCGGGAATACTCACCGGGTTATACTCCGAATATGCCAGGAGGATGTAGAATAGTTCCCGCTGCCTAGGAAACAGAGAAAGAGGCTTTGTTTGTTTTGTGCAGATGCCATAAGTCTCACTTTGTCTACAAAGCCTAACAACAAATCCCACTTTAGGTTCAGATGATTCACCAGATAAGCAGTGAGCTCTTCAGGGCCTTTGACTTGAGGAAATGTTTCAGTAAAATCCACATCTGTGACATGCAGATAGCCCAGTTGTACAGTGACTTGCCTGATCCTTTTCACTCTGAATGATTTTCTTTATTTATTTTCAGTTTGCAGACACTCCAGTTCAGCCTTTGGGTGTACAGTTCCTCCCGTGGTTCTAAACCAATGGGCAGAGTCTCCGGGCGACCGCTCCAGCCCCTCCTGAAGCGACTCCCATCTTCCAAGTCTCCCGGGTGGCCCCTATGCACCCGGCGTCTCCCTGATCCCTCAGCCCCGGCCACCCAGACTGCTTCTCAATCCCTATGGTTTGGCCTTTTCCAGAATGGCCCAGGAATGGGAATCCTATGTGGTAGCTTATTGGGACTGGCTTCTTTCCCTCAGCAAAATGCATCTAGGATCCACCCACGTTCGTGCGGGCATCACTGGCTCATTCCCTTTTCTCACTGGGCTTCCGTTTGAAGGAGGACCAGCCTGCTCTCCCCTTCCCATGTTGAAGACTGTCCCGAAGGCTCCTTGTGTGAGTGACGATGAATCAAGCAGTGGACGTGGCATGCAGGTTTCATGTGCACATCAGTTTTCAAATCAGTGGGTTCAATATTTGTGATACTTTGGGGACACGTGGTTGAAGTCATTGAGCTTTGTGAGTCACTGCCAAACTGGCTGCCAAAGTGGCTGTGCCATGTCATGTTCCCAGCAGACCAGGATGACAGTTTCCAGGACCCCTAATTGCCCAGCATTTGGTGCTGTCAGTGTTGCCTGGAGAGGCTCATGGGCCCTCCATCCTGCCACCCTCCCGTGAGTCCTACCATGGGTCCCCGTGGGTCAGGGAGAGCACCTTTCACCATTGTGCATGATTTTGTTTGCTGCCTTTTGTCTCCTCAGGATCCTCCTGGGTTCTGGCCCACATGTTCCAGTCTGGCCCAGGGCTTGGAACCAGGTGCTCAGTTCATGGTGCCGGCTGCTCCCTGGGTCAGGGGAGGTCTTGGCAGCTCTGTCATCCCCTCCTGGTGACCCTGGCCTCTTCTCCGGGAAGCCCCCATCCCTTTCGTTCACTCCATCTCTGATGAGACCTGTGGCTCCCATAGGCTTACTTGGTTCGTATCGATCCCTGAAGAAGATGTGAGTCCTTAATGTCCTGCTCAAGTCCACATCGATCTGGTGGATGTGTTCAGATGACCTCTTGCCCTTCTCCTTCATGACCTGTAGGGCAGGGCCAAGAGGAGGAAGCAGCCTCAGAACAGATGGAAGACTCCCGCCCCAAATGGCAGTCAGCCACAGTCAGCACTCCGGGAAGGAAGGAAAGCAGGAAGGTTTCCTTCTGCACAAAGCTGCTTTTTGGCTTGTTACTGAAGCTGGGGAGGGTCACCAGAGCCGAGTTTGTCTGTGGCGACTATGTCACCATCCGTGCCCAGGATGTGCATCTGACATCCCACCCACCCCCAGCCTGGGCTTGATGCTCCCTCCAGCTGGGAGACCTGAGCCCCTGACACGGCCTGTCCTGTTTGTTGTGCTCCGGCTGAGCGTACCTTGTATGTTCTGGGTTTTTCGACTTGACTTCCTGTATGTTCAGCAGGACTGACCACACTTGGCCCCGGATGTCATGGGAATGCCCTTATATACTCGATCTCTCAGCTGTGGGCAGAAAACAACCTGGTGTCACAGGCCACGGGGCGACCCCAGTGAGGACCAGAGCCCGAGGATTCTGGAAATGGTTGGTTTTGGCCCCATGATTCCTCGTTAGAGGTGACATTAAGCTGGGAGACGTCTCCCTTCCAGGACTGAAAGAGTGGATAGACACTCAGAGTCGGGACTCTGATCTGAACATTCTCCTTCCTTTGGGTCACCAGGGCATCCCTAGCCTTGAGCTCCGGGTGGTCCCAGCCCTAGATTCAGATTCCTCCTGCAAGGTGACGCTGACAAAGGCAGGCAAATCACCGACCAGGCCTGCAGTCCTCTGGGTGAGGACAGTGTGCCACCACCCTCTGAGAGGCTGACGGTGCCAGGCCACAGCCATGGGTGCCCGTCCCCTGTCTCTGCAGAGTGGTTCCCGGGGCCTCTCCCTCCACACATTACCTTTTCACTGTTCTTATATGTCTCCCATTGTCCCAGCATTTCATCCACTTGCTCTTTCGTGTTATCCCCGCCGCATTTGCTGTCAAATGAGGAATGTTGGAGTTAGGGGAGCTGCCCAGGCTTCCCAGAGCCGCCCGTGGATGCTGATCTTGGGCTCTGGACCCTGGTGGACCCAGCTGGAGAGAGCCAGGGAAGGGCAGACCCTAAGGGTTGAGAGCTTTGAGCAAATGAGCGCCAGTGGGCTGGCTTTGGGACCCCGGGACGTGCCATCCTCAGGCCACAGACACCCAGTGTTAGGTCAGGTCCCAGCCTCTACGTGGGGTCCTGACACAGGCGGGCAGCCACCCCAAGCCACAACTGTGGTTCTCACTTTGGAATCTTATCAAGCTGCCAAAGTTACAGCAACCTGGGGTCAGTTCCAGCAGGGAGTGCTGCCCTCCCAGGGACATCGTGTTGCCCTCACCCGCCACCGCCCAGGCCAGCTGCCTCCTCTGCCTCACTGGACCACCCGCCCAGTCCCCACATCCTGGTTCAGCCCCTCCCCATGCATCAGGCTCTTACCTTCGCCTCCCGAGCAGTGGCAGGAGGCAGTTCTGTCTCACTGTAAGACAACCCAGGCAGAACTGAGGACCTGCACAGGGCCTGGAGCTCCCCGAGACTGGGACCCAACCCCCAGAAAGGACAGGCTCTGTCCCTATCCAGCTCAGGGCTCAGTCCAGGAAAAGACACAGGGAAGGGAGGACAAGGGCCTTCCTGTGGGGCTGACTCCCAGGAGGGGCAGGACCTGGGAGAAGAGGGAGTGCGGGGCCAGCCTGGCCGGGGTTACTGGGGCCCCTGGGGTGGGGGGTGGTCAGGCTGCACAATGGGGCTGCCCGTCCTGGACTGGAGGTGGTGCTTTCTGCTGGAGCTGAGAAAGGTCAGGCCTGAGGTGGGATGGGGGCTGCCCAGGTGGGCGACTGGGCCCTGACAGGAGTCCCTCAGGGAGTGACCACATCAACACCAGGGTCAAGGGAGCCTGCCCTGAGACCTGCCCGGTGTACTCCTGGTGTACCAGGGCCCATCCCACTTAACAGCCCCAAGGCCCTTGCAGGTTCTGACTCCCAGTTTCCACCTGCCTCTCCCTGCACCTGACCCACACATCCTGCTTTCAGAAGTGGCACAACTCATCAGCTCCCTCCACCCTACCTCCCCCGGGATCCTCTGTCTCTCCATCCTATCAACCCTAAGGGATGGACTCCTGCTGGGCTCCTCCTACATGGCCCCAGGTCCTTTCCCAGCACCAGATCCAGGGTCTCTAGCACAAGCCCTGCTGCCTCCCTGGCCTCACCATGAAATACCCAGAACGGGGCCCTGCCCATCTTCTCCCCCATTCTCCCAGGGCCACCGCTCCCATCGTTCCCATACCTTTCCCCCTTCCCCATGGGGACAGTGAGGGCTGTAGCTCTAGGGAAATGAGGGAGGACAGGGGCAGGTGGGCCCTCAGAGACCTGCTGGACAACAGCCCTGAGGCTGGCCAGGCATCCCCTCACCCTGTAGCCACAACCCTTGGATTTCACTGGCGTTGTTTCCAAGTAGACATGGCCAGACCCTCAGGCTACCCGTTCTCTTGTGCTAACTTGGGGGACAGAACTGCTGAGAGTCCAGGGCCTGACCTAGCCCAGTCTCCATTCCCACCCGCTCCCTAGATGGGCCCCGCCCTCTGGCCTAACAGCAACCTTGGGCTGGACCTGCAGGGGAGTCAGGGAGGAGTTCTGACCCTGGAAAGGAGGTTGGCCTGACCTGGCGAGGCAGTCCTGCCTCAGAAAGGCCTTTCTGAAAGCAAACCCATCCCTGAGCTGAGAAGGTGCTTCAGGGGTGAGGGAGCACAGAGGACTCACTGCACAATCCCAAAGCGATCAATGTTGTTGTAGATTCCAACAGGCTCAGGCCCCATGTCCTCTGGCAGCCCGGCTCGGTGTCCCTGTAACCCAGAGGGAGGTTGGTGAGGGGTCCAGGGCAAAGGGTGCAAGGGCCTGGGGGTAGTGGCCACCCGTGCCCACTCTGTGCTCCTAGGGAGCCCAGGACCCTTTGACCAGGGCGCACTGGAAGAGGCCTCCCTCCAAGGAGCAGACCGACCTGTACCTTCTCATAGTTCATGATGATATTCTCTCGCTCCTGTGCCCACAAACTATCTGCATCCTCTACGATTACCATCCTGTGAGACAAAATCATCTAAAAGTTACATTGTACTTGAGAACTTCGGAGAACACCTAACCGTTCCCACCAGGCTCCCAGATGCTGGTTGGCTGCGTAACCCCATTCCACCACCGCCCCAGGTAAAAGGCGCCAGACCTAGTGTCCCACACATGCATGAGTCTCTGCAGTCTCCAGTCCCAAGCAGGGGTGGGCATCATCCCAAGACTTGAGGACAGTGCGACCTCGACAGAGAGTCCCATCATCCCCAAATGCCATGAAATGGGGACACACCTGCCCCAGCAGGTTGAATAGTGTCCACCTGCCAAGGGTGATGGGCCATGATGGGCTATTCCAGGGATATGGAGGGAGACTGGGGTCAGCGACCAGAGGTCTCTGTACAATCGGCCTCCTGGGATGCTCCAGGACCACAGAGATGTCCAGTTTCCTACAGGGAACAAGATCTCTCCTGACTGCTCTGTTCTTCTCCGCTCATCACTTGGCTCCCGTGGCTGTTGAGTCTGAACAGTGAAGCCACTTTAGGAAATAATGCCAGTTGAGCAGGAGGGTGTTCGTTGGGGGATGAAAATGATCTATTGTGCTAGGGGAAACCCTCACTCGGGGAGGGACTGGACTCCACCATTCTGAGCTGTCCCTACAGGAGGGGGCTTCATTTTCCCAGGTCGCTGAGGAAGGACAGTGGGTCCTTGGTCCCAGAGAACACCTGGATGGACCATCCCTCCTGGGAACACTTGGGGCAAAAGGAGGGCGAGGCCTCGAAAGGACCAGACAGAGCAAGAAATATGTGGAGAGAACCCCAGTGGCCCGGACCCCTTTGAACAGAAGAGAAGATAGTCTCCCCCCAGCCAACCCTCCTGGGCTCCTTCATTTTCCACAGCTACCCAAGGACAGAAGGTTCCCCAGGACAAGGGACCATGTGTGTTCAGTGAGGCCCACAGCCACCATCAGGACCCAGCTTAGGGCACAGAGGTGTTCTGAGGACCCTCCTATTCCCCCACCCACAGTGGATCTATCCCAGTGGCTCTGCAGGGCCAGGCTCTGCCCCATCAGGATGGGAAACCTGGGAAGACTTGGGATCTAGGGCAGGGAGGTCACAGGGTTCAGGCCTGAATTCCCAGCACAGCGTACGGCGGGTGAGATCAAAACCCAGGGTCCTGTCTGGATTCCAGGCCGGTAACCGCCTCCCTGACCCCAGACGTCTCACCTGTCGAATGGTACACTAGGGACAGCACTCACTCTATGAAGCCACCATGAGGACGAAAGAGCCAATCGTCTACACTGGCAGTGTAGAACGGGCGACCGGTGAGCGCTCAGGGATGACCCTCCTCTTTAGCTCCCCAGAGGCCAACACCACCCACAGCATAGCACTGTCCCCAAGTCAGCCTGGAGGGAAGAGAGCAGGTCACACTCACCTGATTCCGATGAATCAGTTGGCCTGCGTTATGCCTCTCAGGTAGAACCTTTGAGTCCACAAAACTGGTCCCAGATACCACTGTGGCGTGTGTAGCTGATACCACTGTGCGTGGGTAACTGCCGTAGAACACAGAGGCAGGCCGGAGAGCGGATTGGTGCTAAGCACCAGTGACATTGTGAGGTCATGGCACGCATCACAGTGGGGGCCTTGCCCGGGTCAGCAGGGCCCAGAGATGGGGTCCTCCGCTGGCCTGAGGTGGCCACATGCCTGCCTGCAATGTGTTTGTGTGCATGCGTGCACACCTGTACATGGGTAAACACATCTGTGCACGTGTGTGTGCCTTCTCTGGCCAGGCTGGCTGCCCCATTCATGTGTGCACCCAGTTCCTCATCACTGTCACCCCCGAGCCCAGGACCAGTATCAGAGCATCCACGGGTTCCCTCACCTCAGCCCTCCTCGCCCAGGGTTGTGTGGGATACACATAAGGATTGAGGGAAGTGGACCACTACTGTTGAATCTCAGAATACAAATGCTATACTATTACTTATGGTATTTTGTGTCTCTAATGGTATCTTTTTTTAAAATTTCTGATATTTAACTGGGTATTTCTCACCATGACCCTTGAATGTTCTAGCTAGAGGATTCTGTGGGGAAAGTGCAGGCACACAGTAGGGCCTCACTTATTCCAGACATGTTATTAAAATCTGGTTCATCTGTCCTTCCTGCCAGGGCTAGGGATGCCAAATTCCAGGGTCCAGAAAGAGCTTGGGATAAAATGAAGCTTCAAGGGGTGAACTTTGACCTGGACTCAGTTGCCTGTGCCACTCAACGGAGTCTCAAGTCCCAAGATAGGGCGTCCAGATGCCTCAATGCAGGGACCTCTGATCGACACCTGCTCCCCTGTACTCATTAGCAACCTCACCCACCCTACTCTCAAAGCACACTTGGCCTCATATCCGGGAGCTCCTGGCATCTGTGGATTCAGGCAACAGCAGATGGAAAATATTCAGAAAATAAATTGCATGGTTATGTCTCTACGAACATGTGCAGACTTTGTTCCTGTCATCATTCCCTAAAGAATACAGTATCACAACCATTTATGTAGCATCTGCATTATATTACATATCATAGATGATCTAGTAATGGTCTAATGTCTACTGGAGGATGTGCATAGCTTTTATGTAAATACTAGGCCATGTTATATCAGGGACTTGAGCATCCATGGATTTTGGCATCCCCGGGACCCTAGAACTAATCCTCATGGATACCAAGGGACAATTGTATAAACTCAACTCAGGAAGGCTGCTCATTGGAGGAAGGGCCCAGTTCAGTACAGACAAGGGACATCATCCCTGGACTACTGTCCATCCATCCATCATCCATTCATCCATTGGCACCACCCTCTAGTGCTGTCCCAGTGACAGCCCTAGCAAGTGGAGACATTTAAAAAGACTGGCTCACGTTGTCCAGCTTTGAGGTCTTGGAAGAAGTTGCACCAGTGTGAGAATAGGGGGTCAGTTTCCTCCAGGATCCAAAGAGCGTATCAGGGCCCCTTGGGGAGAGGAAAGGAGCGCGGCCTCTCCAGCAGCCACACGGGCTGCAGTAGGATGGGGCTGCGGCTGGCCCTGTTTATCACTTGGCCTCATCAGGGAACAGAAAGACAGGGGCAGAGGAGGAACATGGGGCAGCTGGTTGCCTAAGCAGAAGGCACCTCAGGGAAGGGGTTTTTAGTTTGTTTTCACACTGCTTAAAGAAATACTTGAGGCCGGGCGTGGTGGCTCACACGTTTAATCTCAGTACTTTGGGAGGCCGAGGCGGGTGATCACCTGAGGTCAGGAGTTCAAGACCAGCCTGGCCAACATGGTGAAACCCCGTCTCAACTAAAAATACAAAAAAAGTTAGCTGGGCGTGGTGGCGGGCCGCCTGTCATCCCCACCTACTTCGGGAGGCTGAGGCAGGAGAATCCCTTGAACCTGGGTGGCAGAGGTTGCAGTGAGCCTAGATGGTGCCATTGCACTCTAGCCTCGGTGACAAGATTGAAACTCTGTTAAAAAAAAATAATAATAATAAATACTTGAGACTGAGTAGTTTATAAAGAAAGAGGTTTAATTGACTCACAGTCAGGGAATTACAATTATGGCAGAAGGCGAAAGGGGAAGCAGGCACCTTCTTCACAAGGGCGGCAGGAGGGAGTGAGTGGAGAACGAGGAAGTGCCACACTTTGAAACCATCAGCTCTCCTGAGGACTCCCTCACTCTCAGGGGAGCAGCACGGGGGAAACTGTCTCCAGATCCAATCCCCTCCCAGGTTCCTCCCTTGACACAGGAGGGATGAGTTTTGAGTGGGGACACAGATCCAAACCTATCAGGGTCTCAGCCTGTGTTGTAGCTCCCCAGGGCTGAGGCTGTGTACAGATCTGCTGGCCCTGCTCTACAGCACCGGGGGCTCTGCCTGTGCGCCCCCATCTGCTGCTTCCTGGGTGGTGGCTGCTTCCTCAGAAGAGGTTGGATCTGCTCTCCTACCCACCCTCTCCAGGGCCTTGTGGTGCCCTGGCCACATCTTCCCAGGGTAAGGGCAGAAACTGGGCTCCTTGCCCTTCTTGTGCTTGGGTGACCATCCTGGGGTCATTTTAGGCCCCATCACTGTTCCTCCTTCTAAATGGAGAGCATTTTGGCAAATCTTCCCAGTAGAGGCCGGGGGCTCATCCCTGTTATCTGTTCTAGCTTGGTAAAGCCAGGTGAAGACATCTGGGCAAGCAGAAAGTAGAGTGGCCCCCAAGAGGGTGGGTGGAGGGTGCAGCCTTTGGGCTTGCCTGGACCAGCGTGTGAGGGGCAAGATTATTACAAGTACGGTTGTCAGGGCTAACATCAGGAGGCAGTAATAATGCTGGTGGGGGGACGGCGGTGTGGCTGGCTTGGTGTGGGGCATGAGAGCCAAGGTTTGTCAGCTGACAGAGAGGTGCCTGACCCATGGACTAGCGGCTGCGGAACCCAGTGGTTGCCCTTAGTTCCCGGATCCTGGGAGATTCTGGAACCTGGGCCTGGGACAGCCTAGGGGTGGAGGTGGTGGGTGACGGGGTAGGGGTCTCTGCCTCTCTCTTTCAGTAAGAGGGAGAACCAAGAAAGGCACTGAAGCATGGTCTGCAGAGAAGTCACCTGTGCAAACACCAGGAGAATGAGGGGCCTGAGTTGTCTTCATTTCTCCTAAAAACATGCATTCTGTCCCAGGACACCCTGGTGAGGGCACGAAGCACAAGGTATGTGTGTGTCTGTAGGTATGCTGTGTATGTATGTATGTATGTGCATGTGTGTGTGCAGGTTGTGCATATGAATGTATTATGTACCTGCATGTGTGTGCGTGTGTGTGCATGTGTGTGTGCGTGTGTGCGTGTGTGTGTGTTGCAGGTCTTTACAGTGGACAGGATGTGGGAAGGCAGCTGCAGTTCCAAGCTACAAGTCTTTCTGATAGAATGATTAAGATTCCCTGGACCACAGAAAGAGTGTTTCATTTGCACCCATTTTTATTAGCATTTAAATCTGCATTATTTGTAGCAGGTAAACCTTACGTTGTTTAACTATTTTTAGAAACATTTACACCAGCGGTCCCCAAACTTTTTGGCACCAGAGACCAGGTTTCTTGAAGACAACTCTTCCATGGCCCGGGAGACGGGAAGGGATGATGCGGAGATGAATTCAAGCCCATTACATTTATTGTATGCTTTATTTCTATATTATTTCACATATATTTCTATTATTATTTCATTCCGCTCTCCACTATCTGTGGGCTAACAGGCTGTGTTAGTTTTCTAGGTTACAGGACCCAGACTGGGCACCCTCAACAACAGAATGTTACTGTCTCACAGTCCTGGAGGCCATGAGTCCACCATCAAGATGTCAGCAGGGTGGGTCCCTCTGAGCGGTGCAGGAAGGCTCTGGTTCCAGGCCTGCCTCTTGGCATGTGGGTGGCCATCTTCTCCCTGTGACTCTTGTTAAGGGTGACTCTGGTGAGGGCTCAGAAGAGGAGAGCTGGACAGAATGACGGTAGCATATGGAGGGGGTCAGGCCTGTGTCTCATGCCTGGAATCCTAGCACTTTGGGAGGCTGAATGGCAGGATTGCTTGAGGATGAGACTTCAAGACAACCTGGTCAACATAGGGAGACTCAGTCTCTTAAAAAATAAAAATATGGAAGGGAAAATCATCCAGATGAAGTCTCAGATGGCAATGAAGAACACGTTATTGGAAACTGGAGGAAAGGTGATGCTTGTCATAAAGTGACAAAGAACTTGGATGCATGTGCTCCCTAGTGTTTTCTGGAAGGCAGAGCTTGCGAGTGATGAACCTGAAATTTAGCAGAAGAAATATCTAAGCAAAGTATTGAAGGAGTACCTTCATCTCTTGAATGTTTCTAGGAAAATGAAAGAAAAGAAGAATGATTTAGAGACAGAACTATAATCAAAAGGGAAGCAGAACTTAAAAACTTGGAAGTTCTAGCCTTCTCAGCCTATCCATATTGAACAGATAAGGAAGTGTGTTTGGGAGAGAACACGAGGGTGTGGGGTCAGGAGGCCTGCACGGATCAGGGCTGTGCTCTTCACCAGGACAATGGAAGAGAGACCCTGAAGGCAGTTTGTAGATCGCTCACGGCTGCACTCTCATCACAAGCCCATGGTGCCAGGGCAGTGACAGCAGTACGGTTTCCAAGGAAGGCCCTGGGGCGCCCTGAGGACCTTGGGGTTTGCTGCCCAGCACTCCCTGAGTCACTGGTCCCACATCTGGTGTGGCACTCCTTGACTCCTCTAAGTGTTGCTTAATGGGCTCCTGTCCAGGGGGAAGTGATGTCCCCCTCCAGGGACACAGGCAGAAAACCCTTCGGCAGCTTCCATGTGGTGCTAATTCTGCAGGTGTACAGATTTTGCTTCTCTCTTATAGAAATGGTGGAGTCAATGAAGAAAGTAGCAGGGATGGATGTGGAGCTGACAGCTGAAGAAGAAACCTCCTCTCTGTTACATTTAAGAATTGATTGGAGCTAGAAGAGCCTCCTGGA